AACACCAGCAGCAACCAGCATCGAATAGCATTGATCCTGACAACATTATTTTTCATGTGGGCCTCAACAATAGAGGTGAAGCGGCAGATATTATCTTCAAAAAAATGACCAATCTTGTTTCTATAGCTTCTTCCGTGTTTCCTAATTCCCGTGTCTTCATCACCCATATACCCACTGCTCATACTTTTCAACTGAAGAATAAAGTCGACAGTAAAAATTTAGAGAAATTCAATGCTTTGATAATCAACAGTCCTCCACCAAATACAACCATTATTCCAGCAGCAGATGCTATCATTAAAGTCAGAGGAGACGACATTCATTGGACTCCAATGACTGCCAAAGCCATCTACGACCATTGGATGAACTTCGTCACAGATTCCACAGCACCTTTAAACTAGGAGCGGGGGGTCCCAATGTTTGTCTTATGCTTGGAAAAACAGTTGTTAATTTAAGCTCTAGAGTTCTCTCTCCAAGTAAACAAAAGATAGATAAAGGGCTTAAATTTATACCTACCAAGAAACCTTTGTCACACACTCCACTAATTGAAGCCACAAAGAGATTCCAGAGAAATTTAAGGTTAAACTATTTCTACAGAAACACGCCTTCTCGTGGTCCGATCACCAAGTTTGTTGAAAAATCGAAATTCACATCCGTGGATAGTTGTATAAACAAAAGCATTTTGAATACCTTTCAGGAAATGAATGATGAAATATCTCGTTTGCCTATAGTAAACGAGAAAGACAACCTTTCGCACGCGGAACGTACTGCTTTGAACGCTCTAAAACATGACAAGAATTTTGTTATCAAGAAAAGCGACAAGGGCAGTTGTTGTGTGATCTTAAATAGGCAGGATTATGTTAAAGAAGCCGAATCTCAATTAAGCAATCCTGAACATTACACTCGTTTGCAGGATCCGATCTACAAAGAAACTTCTAAATTAATAACAAATATTTTGAAAAATTTACTTCAGAAAGACTACATTAAGCAAAAACAATTTGATTATTTAAAGCCAGAAAAAGAACCACGTCAGAGACATCTTTATACCCTCCCAAAAATACACAAAACTCCTGAAACTGAGTGGTTCTCTCCAAATAAAATCCCAAAAGGTCGCCCAATTATTTCCGATTGTGGAAGCGAATCGTACAGGGTATCAGAATACATTGATCACTTTTTACTGCCTCTTGCCTCAAAACATCCTGCCTATATCAAAGACACCAACGACTTTGTGGAAAAGGTAAAGAAACTCGTGTTCCCAGAAAATGCCCTTTTAGTCTCTTTAGACGTTCAAAGCATGTATACTAAAATTGACAATGATTCTGGATTACGCGCTGTAAAGCAGGCATTCGAGCGAAAGCCCGATCCTGATAGACCAGATAAAGAAATTCTTGAACTTTTGGAAATTTGTTTAAAACGTAATGACTTTACTTTCAATGAAAATATTTATCTTCAGGCTTCAGGAACTGCCATGGGAAAACGCTTTGCGCTCTCTTATGCAAACATTTTCATGGCAGAATGGGAAAGAGAAGTTTCACTCCTCTGTCCCAAACTACCAATTTGTTATGTAAGATTTCTTGATGATATTTTCTTAATTTGGACTCATACAGTAGATGAATTTTGGGAATATTTTGATACTCTCAATAGCCACAACCCTTCTGTAAAGTTAACTTCTAATATTAGCGACAAACAGATTGATTTTCTAGACACCACAGTTTTTAAAGATACCAATTTTCATGAAACCAATCAATTAGATATTAAAGTTTTTTTTAAGCCCACTGATACTCACCAACTTTTATTCAAATCATCTTTCATCCTAAACATACCTTTTCTGGCATTATAAAGTCGCACATCTTGAGATTTCACCGAATTTGTACGCGCAAGAAGGACTTCGAGGAGGTTTGTTCAATTGTTTTCCAAAAATTGCGCGAACGTGGATATTCAAAACACTTCATTCAACCCGATCACCAATTAACAGTTCTGAAAATTATTGCCATTGAACAGATATACGAACAACCTGGCATTGATACAAAGAAAATTCGACTCATTTGCGAAAATTATTGGATAAACAAATTACAAATCATGCATCCTTTAGGAATGAACATTCAAGTTGATTTCCAAATTATACCTTTTGTTATTCAATACAACAACACAGCTGGTCAAGTTCCCCGAATAATTATCCGTCTTTACAAAGAATTGCAGGAAAAATTTCCAACAGTCTTTACAAATGATTTAGTTATCGCCTATACCCGTAATAAAAATCTAAATGATATCTTAGCCCGTGGTAGATTACCCCCTATCCCCCCTTCCATAGGTTTAGTACATTTCCTTTAATTAATATTTCTTATTTATGATAACTTGCAATTGAAGAGTTTCCTCGCAAAAATATCATACATGTATACTATTTTCACTTAATAAATTATATATATTTTTTTATATGAAATACGCATTTTCCTTTTCATTTAATATAGGACAATTCCTCAGTTTCACCAGTAAAAATGTTTATTATGATTTCCATGGTTATTAATGTTCCTGTTGGAACCAGTATTCTTCTTACATATTTCAGATTCGGAAGATAATGGATTTGCATTGCAAATATTCTATATCATTCTTTTAAACTAACTTCACAAACATTGCTCTATCACTAGAGGTTACGCCTACATGCCTGTGCCTGTGCTTTCGTAACATTGCTTAACCGCAATATTACAACCTTAAATTCCTAGTTTTCTGTGAGAACCGTGACAAAACGGAAGACAACGTGATAAAACTGGACGGAACGTCAGACGCTGGGGAATAGACACGATTTCCGCCCCACTACTTAGGCACAATCTAACAAACTTGGGTATGGAAACAAAACAGCCAACCTCAGGGATCACCTAAACAGAGAATGGGGCATGGAAATAGGACAGGAAGTGTACGAGCCAAATGACTCCTTACAATCATATACATCTAAATGGAATCTTACTGTCAATATTAACAAAATCAAAGTTGTAATATTTAGGAATAGTAGTAGTTTTCTTTAACAAGGAATTTTGATTAAGACATGATAGAAATATTTCTCCAGTTTGGATTTAACAGAACAATGCAGTTCAAAACCAGCTCGCGCCCTCGGAGTATATCCTATAGAAATCTGGAAATTTGTCCTTTCTTTCGAATAATCAAATTGAAGTATCACAACTACTCTTGTCAAAGGCATCGTACATTAGGCATAATTGAAGAAAATACACGGTATAATAACATTTTGTACGTAGTTAGCTACAGGTTAGAAAACGTCATGAAGTCCATTATAATAAGCTGATTTGAATACAAATGTTTTATTCATGTTTAAATTAAATTAATGTATAGATTCATAGACTTATGAATGATTTCAAATAACAATCCTTTTCACTCCAAGCCCAGGTCCATAACTCCCACAGCCCCCTCTTGCCAGCATACATTTTAAATATCAGATGCAGTGTTGCCAGATTATATTATCATAAAGGATAATACCATATCCCCTTCCTTATAAGAAAAAAAAAGAAAAAAGAAAAAAAAAGTCCAACGTTATAAAAAAGAAAAAAAAAACACTTGTAAAATTAAGTTAGTTTACAAAGTCATCATTAAAATATCTTGGATTTCGTCTACGGTTACGAGGTTCAGGTGGTGCAATATTACCATCATCTTGTTGTTGGTATTCTAATAATGAGTCTCCAGAATCGTCATCATTTAATCCGTGGTTGGCATGAGTCTCACATAACTCATGCCAACGTTTGATAACCTCTTGCTCTGTAAGTGGTTGTGATTTTGGGACAATTTCTTCATCGATGACGCATTTCTTTATATCATCAGGGTGTCGGGTGAACATTCTACCATCTTTCTGTCTTTCCAGCAGGATGAATGAGCCAGTGTCGTCAACATGTGTGACTTTGCATGAGTCAGGTAGAAAGGTTGGATGAAACTTAGATGTTTTGTTGTAGTTTCGTAATAATGCTCGATCCCCAATTTTAAATAAACTTTGGTAGCGATATTTGGAGTCATTGATTTTCTCGGCTCGCCTTTGTTTGATAAGTCCGTCACGCTGTCTAGCTTCCTTGACCTGAGAATCAGAAACCGCCATGCGAGGAAACACAGATTGATGACCATCGCGAAATAACATAGACGATGGTGCTATTCCAGTAGCTGGATGAGGGGTATCACGATAGTTAGAAAGGAGTTGTGATAAAGCTGTCCGTTCTGATTGATTGTTATAGTTACTAAGTTTCATGGTTTTTCCAAGGGGTTTCATAAATGTTTCAACAGGATTTGCAGCTGGATGTAGTGGTGAAATCTTTTGAAGAGTAATGTTCCTTTTCGTCGCAAAATCAGACATATCTCTGGAATTAAAAGGAGGTCCATTATCGGATAGTTGAAATTCTGGATTCCCAAAAGAGTCGTATATGTCAGCCAATGCTGGTAACACCTTGCTTGACTTAGTCGATGATACAATCTTTGCTACTGGAAATCGTGACGCAATATCTTGAACGACCACAACATGATGTGATGATGGCATTGGACCAAATAGATCAACAGATACAGTTTCCCAGCATTTTGAGGGAACATGGTGTGCTCTAATGGGTTCACTCATTTTCTTGTCTGTAAATATCAACAATCTTTACAAGTACTAACGAAATTCTGAACTTTCTCCTTCATATCATGAAAGAAAAAATGAGACCGCAGAGGACGCTCAATGCCACTCTGCCCAGGATGACTACCACGGTGAGCTAATTGTATGGCCAATTCTTGTAAAGATTATGGAAGAATCATACGTTCACCCTTTAGAAGAATGTTATTATTTGATATGGTGAGTTCATGTAGAATCGATTTAAATTTCAAAGGTTTCTCGCTTGCATCCTTTGGTATCAATGTTTGTCCAGCACGCACTAGCTTTTGTAGCGCCTGTAATGTGACATCCAATGATGTAGCAGCTGATATTTTGCCCAGGGAAATAAAGTCAATGATAGGAGTAGCGTGAAGCGTCTACAGTAAATTATTTAAATCATTAACTTCATGTTTTTCATCGTCTGGAAGGACTTGGAAAGGTGTAGCGTTTCTAGACAAAAAGTCAGTTTGATTATCCTTGCCTTTTTGGTAAAGCACTCGGAATCGTATATCTTGGTGACGTAGTTTTATGCGTTCGGTGCGAATCGACCCTTGTCGATTTCCATTTAAGACTGAGCACAATGGCTTATGATCAGTAACAATATGTATGGTTGTGGGTGCTCCAACCAAATAATTTCTAAATCTTTCCTTTCGTTAATTCACGCAAAGGAGCTGATCGACAGGCAAAATTAGAAATGAAGTCAGAGTTTGATTGCATCATACATAAAAAAACTAACTAACTGCTCTTTGTTTGTGGGTGCTTTCAATGTTCCAAAGCTGACACTTTAGAAGGGTCTGGTAGCACGCCATCGGCACCAATTATCATACCCCAGAAGTCGACTTCTTTTTTTCCAAATGTACACTTTGATGGAAGTTAGACCTGACCTTGAGATTGCCGGCATAACAAGTTCAACAGCCTCGTCATGCTCCTTGCGATTTTTAGCCGCAACAATAAGATCGTCGTGAATAAGATGAGCTTGAGGAATGTGGGCAAATATAGGCTTTAGGGCTACATTTAGTTCACCTTGTGCTGGTTTTATTCCCATGGTAAGGCGTTTGTAACGATAAAGTTTGTCGTTAGCATGGAATACAGTTAGAAAATGTGAATCAGGATGGAGTTCCAATTGCCAAAACGCGGATTTAAAGTCCATTTTGGAGAAAATGGTCGAGCCTGATAACTGGGCTTTGATATCTTCTTGTCGTGGTATAGGTAGGTTTGTAGACTGAATCCACGGTGCAGGTTGGTTTGAGGGATGTTCTTCTATAACATCTTGTTTGATCATTTCATCGATAGCACAGTGAACACGTTCTTTTAGGTGATAGGCTACAGGACTTGGCGGTACATTTACAGGTTTGACGTTAGCATCAAAATGCAGCTTTACCTGGTGGTGTCGTAATTTTCCCAACCCAGTGAAATTTTCTGGATAGTGGGTAAGTATCTTTTGTAATGAAATTTTTGAGACGTCATCAGCTGTTTTATCTATGCTATGTATAGGAAAAAATGTTTCTGCTTTTGGACTGAAATTGATGATTCCAAGTTGTAAAGCTTTGTCGCCAGATAAAATTGGTTCACAGAAACCAGAAATAACATGCCACTCAACAGGTACAGAAATAGATCCAAAAGTGACGGAACAAATAGCAGTTCCATGCACAGAGATAGGATTACTCATATAAGGTTTTATGCGTACTTTAGAGGATACCAATTTATCTAGAAGATTCCATCGTTTAGCTTGTGATGTTCCACACACACTTACACATGCACCAGTGTCTGCCACAACATGGTCCAGTTGATTATTTATGATAACCTGGACCCTAAAATTATTTTTGACAGATGAAAGTAATTTGGGTTGAACTTTATTTGTTTGTACTCTAAATAAATTGATACTGAAAATATCCTCTGCTTGTTCATAATTTTGCTCCGATATATCAATGGACTTCAAAGGTTTGCCACTTCTACAGACAGAAGAAAAATGTCAAATTTTTTGAACATTTCTTGCATGTTACATTGCGAGCTGGACATCTAGATCGATGTTGATCGATAGAAGTCGAAAAGTTGTTTCCACAATAAAAGCAGCTTAGTACTCGTTGGTTAAAAGTGGGCTTTCTAGCTTTTTCGGACTGCTTCGATTTCAGAAGTGAATTGTAAGAATATTGACCAACTCTATTTAAAGTTTCACCTGCAATTTCGGTACCACCTCTAGCAGCACTCTCCATTGCCATCCCTTTTTGGCATAAATCCGTGAGATTCCAATCTCTAAGAAGCGCTTCTTCTCTGATATTGCTGTTGGATGTTCCAATAATTATCTGATCTCTGATGGCTGTAGACTCCGCTGTACATGTAGGACTGTCACATTTAAAAGCACAATGTTTAGCTTCTCTTTTAACTTTGTTGCAAAAACCTGGGAATGTTTCATCAGGTTCTTGTGAAATATCTCTAAAATGGAAATTTTGGACAGTCTCATTATCAGATCCTTTATAAAATCGCCGCATTTTGGTTAGAAAGTCGTCCCAGCCGATGTCTTTACGGATCTGTTCGTCAGGTTCAGCTGTCAACCAATCAGCGTAGAATCTGCTGGAAGTAAACATACCAAGAAGCTTAGGCACACGATCTCGGCTATGCCATGCATTTCTAACTGTGTCATATTGGAGAATAGTAGGTTTGGGATCTCTATTTTCTGCGGTAGTGTTTTGTATCTTCCATCGTTCTAATGCAGCATCCAGGGAAACTTTTGGTGGATCCGGATATTGGGCATCATAACGTAGTTCAAAGCATATGACAAATTCCGTGAAAGCCTTTAGAGTGTCTTTCGGGTGCTTTTCAGGATCAAAATAAGGCGTTGAATTAAGTTGAGATTCGTTGTGAACTGCCATTTTGTTCAAAAAATGTAAAATAGTGTGAAGGTGGTCACAAAAAATGTTTGTTTACTTGACTGTTTTTCTTTGAATAAACGAAAATTCACTGCTTGAGCCTTTAGTCCTCGTAGCCATTATAATAAGCTGATTTGAATACAAATGTTTTATTCATGTTTAAATTAAATTAATGTATAGATTCATAGACTTATGAATGATTTCAAATAACAATCCTTTCCACTCCAAGCCCAGGTCCATAACTCCCGCAGCCCCCTCTTGCCAGCATACATTTTTAATATCAGATGCAGTGTTGCCAGATTATATTATCATAAAGGGTAATACCATATCCTTTTTTCTGTACATGTTGCCGTTTCTGAGAAAAGTGGCCTTTCGTGAACGAAAACAAAACCAATACGAAACAAAGCAGGGCGTTCGTTTACGCTCTATAACTAAAAATTTAACGAAAACAATACAGTTTCGAGCACAGCTGTAATAATATAGCTGATTGAGAGCTGTAATTTATCGCAGTTTAGTGAAATCGAAGTGATTTCCCCAAATCCTAAAAATAAGTGGATCACAAACACTCTTAGTAAACCAATATTATGTTCCAAAAAAACTTTTATTTAAATCTATACAGAAATTAATATCAGATACAATTGGTTCCATCAACTTATATAGTTTAACTAAAAAATCTGTTTTTCAACATCATCAGTACAGCCATTGAAACAATGATAAAAATGATAGTGTATTGGGATTATTCGGAAGTAAACAATTAAACATTCAACCGATGTATGCTTGCTGAATTTGCACCACGTGCTGATAATCGGCAATAAAAGCGAGTTGATACGATTTGCTTCAATAAAAACGCCTTAAGAAACTAAGAAACCTCGTTCTGTTAAACTGTAACGACCAGTACGAATATTATTTACCTTGTTAAAATAACGTAACAACCTAATTACAATCATGTTCTTACTCTAGAAAGTGTGATGTTCTATCATTGATACACGTCAAGAGTCAAATTAAACAAGAAATTATAGACAGTCGTCTGGTAGAGTCGTCAACTGAGAAAATAATTTAATTGAAACAATAATAAATCCAATTAATTATCATTAATTAAAAGTGTGACTAAAATTAGATTATCACACCTAATCCGGTTTGAGGAAACCAACCTCGGTTTAACAACCTTGTGACATGTCATTAATTAAACACTCCAGTTTGTGACAAATATTAAATATTATCAAGTGGTAGAACGTGTAAAAATTAAACTGATGTGATTTTGTGAATAAGGAATCATGTCTGTCTAGCACGTCTAATGAGAAACTAAGATACCATATAAAATACAACTGTCCCAAATTTCATCAGTTCACTTCTATAGTTCATCAGAAAAAGATTAAATTTATATCTCATAAAAAAACAATAAAATAAGATGTCTCAAATTAACAGTAACTCTTATCAAATACGAAAGGTAAGTTTGTAAATTGTTTTCTGAGACGCAAATGGAACTCAATCTTTTTAAAATTTCCAAAATTATGATAAGAAAGTAACTAGTAATATTTTTGTTTCAATGATGTTTGAAAATAATACAACAAAAAATATTGTTAGTTTTGTCGCTGAAAACAAAGTATCAACGAGATTCTCGAATCGATCTTAGCGCTAGTGTCCTAGTGTCTTCTAACATTGTTTCTAGGGTGTCAGAGCGCTAAGATCGTTTCGAGAATACGTGGCCAGGGTGGAATCAGGTGTTTCTGAAGGATAATAATAATTTTGACCTATCTATCTTAGGAGAGAAAACAAGTTGCTGAAAAACGAAGACGTCAAAGAATGAATGAAACTTTACTGAAAATTAAAGATTTAGTTTTTAATGAAGAAACATCTCATCTCATGGTAAGAAAGTTCTTCAAACTTAAAATACTTTGTGTGATCAAAATAGACACCCCAATCTATATACCATTAAATCTCTAGCTCTCAAACAAACCATATACCACTAATTCTCTAGCTCTCAAACAAACCATATACCAATAATTCTCTAGCTCTCTAACAAACAATATACCACTAATTCTCTAGCTCTTTAATAAACCATATACCACTAATTCTCTAGCTCTCAAGCAAAGCATACACCACTAATTCTCTAACTCTATAACAAACCACATAGCACCAATTCTCTAGCTCTCTAACAAACCATATACCACTAATTCTATAGCTCTCTTACAAACCATATACCACAAATTCTATAGCTCTCTTACAAACCATATACCACTAATTCTATAGCTGTCTTACAAACCATATACAACTAATTATATCACTAACAGAGAATATAGGTCCAGTTACATAGAGTTAAAATCAGTTCACATTATTTCATGATATTTTTTTTTACAGGAAGCTGATAATCAAAAAATAGAAAAAACAGAAATTTTAGAAAAAACCATAACCACCATCCATGAAATAAAAAGAAAACGTGAAATAGCCATGGATATTGTTTATCAAGAAGGTTATTCAAGATGTTTATTAGAAATTAACTCATTTTTATCATGTTTTAATTTACCTGAATCTAGTCGACAGAATGTATTAAAATATCTAACAAGACGACCACATAAAAATATCAACCTACAATCACCAACAGAAAGTATACAGTGTTATAATAGATTAGTTAATGTCGATATACAGATTCAGAATGGTAGCATTAACAATCTCGTCTGGCGACCTTGGATCTGAACTCTCCACTAAAAACTGAACAAGACCAGGCCTGTAAATTTATTTGAAAGTGTAGTGAAATGAAAGTACAGGCTTTTGGGTTTAAATATCAATCATTGCATGGAAAGGGAGTATTGGTCAAGAATGATGTCGATACTAGAGAAACCTTACTACATACCATCCAAAAACTTCTATATAAATTGATAGCAGTTAGAACAATGAGGTTAGAGTGGTGTAAGAACATCTGAGGTTAGAGTGGTGTAAGAACATCTGAGGTTAGAGTGGTGTTAGAACAATGATGATAGAGTAGTGTAAGAACATCTGGGGTTAGAGTGGTGATGTAACAGCTGAGGTTAGAGTGGTTAAAGAACATTAGATACTATTCGTATCAGAATGACTAGGAACATTGTAATAGTATTTGTATGGTAGTGTTTATTGTATTTTACAAGCTGCCTGACTTGAATATTATTGTGTATTTAAATCTCTACGAATATAAAATATATCTAATAAAATATTGAATAATAATTTACTTCTATAGTTCATAAATATAACTTGTTTATAATAGAAAATGAAGGATTAAAGGAGATTTCATATAAATGTCATGTAACTTGAATTTCAGCGGCTGGCAAAAGAAATAAACAGTCGTCATTTCCCTCTATCTCGTTTTCTGCCTGACAAATAATATATTTCAGATATTTTTCTTTCGTCACATGCTACTCTAGTGGTGGCCTTATTGTTATAAGCGCACCCAAACATTAATATGAAGCATTCCCAGAATGTATTTAATAGATTCTCGACCGATCTGGATATTAATACAACTCACAGATCCGCTGCGGATATCAACTCTTGTAAATAATGTATTGTATTTTGGTTAGAAAGGAGGTTTTTTTTTTTATCTCTGTCTGCACAAAACTGACGCCAAGAATTGACGTTTTAAGATAAACACAGCATCGCGCGTCTCTGTAGTTCCAAGCCCCGATCTCAGGGATCATCTAAACAGAGAATTGAACATGGAACTGGGACAGGAAGTGTGTTTGTCAGTGAAAACATAATGCCACAATTGAGTGACGTTTTGACAATGGAATTTTTAGAGATGAATTTTGGCTGTAAAGTTGGTTTTGATCACGTTTTCTGTATTTTACCGATGTCTAGACTAGAAAATTACATGTACGACACATGAAATCAAGTAAGTGTGTTTGGTTTATTCTTGCCATCATCGCTGCATTGTATGTTTTGTTTGAAAAGCTTTCTCTTTCTTAAATTTAGGGGGTTTATGAAAAAAAACGTGTTTCTCAAATTATTGATCACGGTGTTTTCTACTCCATGGACTCTTTGGAACTGCTGCTATCGTCTTCGCAATCGGTGACAACCGTCGACCTGATCTTGTGGCGAAGGTAAAGAACTTTGTCAGCTTTTTGGCGAGCGTATTCGTAATAAGCGTTTCTCACACCTTCGACAGCAGACATTCTCAAACGGATGTTGTAGCGGAAAGAACGCAGCTCATCTCGTCTTGCTCGATCGTATCGAACTTGAAGATCTTGTAATTTGTTGTTCCGCAAAACCACTTGTTCACAGGCTCTTCTGAATCGAAATTCGGT